TTACAGTGTCCTCACACTAGGACCTATATAATATTTAGCCATTGCTGAAGAGTTTTGCAAATGCACCCATTCTCAGCATTTTCAACATGATGACACAGTCATCATTTATGTATTGATAACTTATGAGCATTTCTTTCTACTTCTAGGCTGCCAATGACTCATCAGGCTGTCAATCAACAAATCCTCAGTTAAACACATAGTGTCCAAACACAGTGCTCCTTACCCTGAGAAGTTTACAATCTGGGCTGGATGAAAAGACTCACAAGAATTGGAAAACAATCTTTCTTTAAAACTATAAGAATAATGGAATGATGTTTAAAACCTTCAGCTGTAAATGGAGAAGGAAAGAAGAGAGGGTAGGCATATTTCTGAATATCTTAACAAATGGGAGGAAGGGAGACAAAGCTGATGAGTTGAAATTATAATTGTTTAAAATATAAGCAAAATGTAAAAGGGGAGTAAAATGGAACTGAAAGGTTTTTTTTTTAAACAATTATCCCAAATAAAAAGAATACACTGGATTCCACTGGCTGCAAGAAGACAGTTTATATACAAGTAAATGCACATAATCATATAGTAAAAGGCAGTCTTTCCCAACCAATATACCCGGAATGATGAGTACCTAAAGGGGAAGGAAGTAATGTGTAAAACTGGAAAAATAATAAGGGGCCAGATCATGAAGCACTTTAAACAAAGGACATGATATTTTATTCTGGAGGTAATACAAAGCCACTAGAATTTAATAAGTAGGGGTGTAATATTAAAAATAGCTAAGTAGTTCCATTTTGTTTTTTAACCATCATTTAGTGAAGCTAAGTTTTGGCTGCTTCTAAGTCACCTGATTTTAAGTCACAAGTTTACTCTGGCTCCACCCTATCATCTGAACATAAGAATATGCCTCTACCAATAAGAAACCTGGTGTCACAATTACTTAATCCTGTTTTTCATTCCCTTCAAATCATATATTAACTGGGTAGAAACCAATGATAAGAGTTCTTGGTTACTGAGAGCCTTGGTCCCAGTTTGTTATACAACTGGTATACACTGGTTAATAAATAATTTCTTTATTGCAATGTTAACAGTTTTGGCAAGTTCTAGCCAGGAGAGGAAGATGAGAATGTGCACCAAAGAAACAGAGGGTTGAAATGGTCAGACCTTCACTTTGGGAGACTAAGTGGAGGATGGGTTGGAGTGGGGAGAGATTTGCTACCAGGAGACCAATTGAAGGCTACTCAATAATCCAGTTGAGAGGTGATGAGAGCTTGAAACTGTCTTGGGGTTGTATTAGTCAAGAAAAGGAAGCATATATAACATGTTACAAAGATTGGTGAAGAGTATTGTATAGAATTGAACTGGTTCATCAAAGGATCAAGATTTGAAAGGGAGAAGATTTTAGCCAGTATAGGAATGATGGCTTGGGAAAGCACTGAGGAGTAGAGGGATTAGAGGTCTCAATGAGGAAAAAGAACAGGGTTAAAGGTTGTAAAGTGTAGGGAAAGGTAGAAACTTTGGTCAAAGAAGGTCAAACAGTTTGACCATTAAAAGAATTTCACTGTTCATGAGAATGGAACATTTGTGGGTGATGACAAAATTAAGGGAATATTCATCTCTGTGTGAGCTAGTCATTAAGGGAGAGCATTTATTCTAGGGAGCAGCTAGATGGCACAGTGGATAGAGCACTGGTCCTGAAGTCAGGAGGACCCGAGTTCAAATCCTGTACTAGTTGTGTGGCCCTGGGCAAGTCATTTAACCCTGTTGCCTCCAAAAAAATATTCTGAAGTGCTCTAATATGAATAGGAGTTGGAGCAGAGAGAAAGACTGCAAGCCAGACACTTAACTCACTGAGAAAAGAAGAAGAATGACTTAGGACAGAGGTGAGGAACCTTTGCCTCAAGGTTGCAGGTTCCCCATCTTGACTAGGAGAAGGGGAGTGATCTGCTATGGGTGATAAATTTGGTTATCCGATTCCAAAAGTAAGAGTGGAAGGGGTAGGTAGATCTGGAATGGGACATTATAGGGGAAATGGCAGGCTAGAGTTGAGGTAGTTAGGACCAAGTAGCTACAATTGGAGTTAGCAGTCCAGGTTTCAGAATCAAGAGGATGAGGAGAGACGGGGTTGGTCATATGCTAAGAGACTGCTGAATAAATAAACTCTTTCCACTTTACAGAATTGCTTCCCAGTATCAAGGGCAGATATAATTACCCCATTTTTAAAAATTCATAGTCACAAAGCCTCCACACTATGCTTTAGAACCAGTGCCTCTTTTCTTCCCAAGCACTCAAACTTAAAATTCGTACATCATATTGAGCTTTGCAAAATGATTTACACATCTTCACTCATTAAAACCCCTGTGGGGTTGTACTCTGTACTATTGCCACTTTTTCTACAAATGAGTAAACTGAAATTCAAATTTTTTTTAATCTTATCATCACCCTCAAACGTTCTATTAATGAACAATGAAATTCTGTTAATTGGTTAAACAGAGTTTGAGCATCTTTGACCAAAGTTTCCACCTTTCCCTACACTTCACCTTTAACCGTGTTCTTTTTCCTCATTGAGGCAATTAATCCCTCGATACTTCCCTTCCTTATACTGGCTAAAGTGATTCGCTCATGGTCACAGAACTGGAATTAAGAGGTAGGATTCAAATTCAAGTCTCATTTAACTCAGTCACTAATATCCTGCACCGTGACATTGTGCTTCCATTTGGAATGTGCCAAGGTTTCCCAGGTTTCTACCATTTATCTGCTCAGTCACGAGTGGAAGAGAGTATAGGCACTTCCTGCCACCTACGCAGATGCAATATTTTCCATGCTTTAGCAGATGATTTACTGTGGGCCCCCAAATTTCATCATCAGGTCACTGTTTAGAAGCCTCCCTGTACTTCCCCGAGGGGATCATCAGATTACAAAGACACTGCACTGGCCTTGGCAGGTCTACAACTGAAGCCCTTCAGTCTGGCAAGGACGGTCTCAGAGACACCAGGGTCACCATTCCACCACACCTGGCAATATTAAAAACAGGGACATTCATTAGGTGGAGGAGGCGACATGGCTAATGGTAAAGGAATTCATTAGAATCTGGGG